AATAGCTGAGGCAGTGATAAAATAATAGGGCTCACTTTCTTTGAAGTTCTTCACGCTCAATTCACGACTTCATTTGTCCGAAGTTGCTTATCAATCAGAGTTAATGTGCACGAATTTTGAGGTCATTCAATCTCAGAAATGAGGAAAGGAACCTCTCAAGCGCCACGCAAGCAGGAAACTCCGGAAATGGGGAACTAATTGAGTTTAAATTCAAGCCACTACTGTACTTTATCAAAGCGAAGAAGTTGCATGAGTTGTGAATGATTGCTTCGGCAAATAATAGAGTTTGCAACAATAAAAGGCTACAGCTTTCAAGGATGATAATCCCTCTTTGGAATACGCCACACATCCTAGTTTCACTCAGAGTGTTTTCGTGCACAACTAGGCATCAGTAAAAGGATGAAGGACAAACTTTTGCCGTTGACCAATCCTTTTTTAGGATGCGCCACGCACACTACTTCCACTCAGGATCTTCGTGGCTTACTGAGTGCGATACGGTCTATACGATGACAACACTGACTTATACTTCGCCTCGCTTCTGTGACTTGCAGAAGCGAGGCGAAGTATATGTCAGTGTTCTTATCTTCCCCGACGAATACGGTACTAAATTACCGTCCCGGAGTGTAGAGCGCTTCGTTGCGTGGACACAGGCCGATACAGAATTCGATCATCGCCTCCCGGACCGCGCGTGTGCTAAGCGCGCCAGCCACCACACCACCTCCGCTAATAAAGCGTCCACAAAAGAGAATATTCTCTTATTCCCACAAATGGAATAGCTATTACTTGTGATGCTGGAAAGGTGGACGTAATCCAAGGTGCAGTCGTTTTAGTCTCTTTCGCTGCGGATACTGGGGCGTGACGGACAGAAGGGTTTGGTGGAGCACCACCATCCTGTTCTCCATCATTTTTTATAGAGGCTCGATAAAAGATAAAGGAGTTGCCGATAAACAATCCCTTTTCGGGAAGTGGCACACATTCTTCTTACACCCAGAATCGTGCTACTTTCTCAATGCGATGTGACCTATACAGTGACCTATACGGCCAATCAATTTTCTTATCCTCCCAAACGAATGTACCGTTTACGGTCTGCAGATGGTATGAGGTTTAGTTGACCTGCGTGGAAGCCGATCCGGATATGGTCCCCGGACCGCGTGCGTACCACGTGCCACAGGCGGACACAACATCTACGCCTTTAGAGCTTCGAAAGGGGGACCCTATCAATACCAAAATGGAACGGCTAGCACTCGACGCCGAAGGGAAAGGCTTGGTTCGGACGAGATTCGAACAGCGACGCTTGATCGCCACGCTATAATTGCGGAACTTTCATTTCACCGTCACCACTTGATAAGAGAATAGAGATATTAGCAAAATTCCTTGAATACGCATCCCTTTCCCACTTGGGGGCCGAGCAGATTTCATACCAATGACGTAATTGCATTTTTTCAGAAGACGCTCTTCTTCTATACTGTGAGCGTTCTGATAGCATCTGTGTGCTTCTGATGATGAGGGACGAATAGCTTTGCTGCAATTTGATTTCAACTTACAGCACGCGCAAGAAGTTATTTTTTTTCAACTTCCACTTTTAGCATTGTAACATCGGAACATAAAAATTACCCCGAGAAATCGGTAAGTTACGTTCTTAATTCTAGACTCAGCCAGAAATAAACTTCCAACAAGAGCACTCATAGCTCAGATGCTACCGTAATCGGCCATTGGCAGTCGGGTAAACGCCTCCGTTGGTCTCCCTCGGGACCATTGAGTCCGCGGCGCGATAGGCTCCTCATCTTCGCTCATTCGCCATCAACGCCTTCTTCATAGCTCATATCCCTCCGAAGCCACCGACGTATGACATTAACTACTGTAATACTTCACGCATAGTTCCAGTTATTCTTCATGATCAGTACACTTGAGTGTTCCACCGTTGTTGCTTTCCCTAAATCATGAAATTTGTTTCCTGCATGAGCGCACGACCCCCCCCCCTATCATTTTATTCCGTAAATAGAATTGACTGGAACTGCTTACAGAATGTTTGCTTCTATTGACGCTCTGCTATGCTCGAACGCAGGTTCGGCTATCGACACTCCGTTAAACTACTGCATCGAAGATGGTACAAATCTTTCAGTTTAACAAAATTTACAATTAAAAATTATAGGGAAATGAATTACAGGGAAATGGATAGGGAAATGAGGCAAATAAGGTGTAGTCGCAAGTGGCGCGCATCATTGCACACGCTCAGGGGATCAAATCCTGGACCGGTTCAGGCCTGAGCCAACCGAGGCCTTTCCCCTCCGGGAACGGTAAAGCGGCACAAGACTTATTTGGGAGGATAAGAGCTGGCTTGTACATCGGCTCGCCCTGCCAGTCATTGTATAAGCTACATCGCCCTCAATAAGCCACGAATCTGAAAGGACACACCGCAAAGGGATCAACTGACGGCGAAGACTTGTCCTTTAGCTTTTCACAATGGAACCGAAGGTCCATATGATAAAAATATGCGTTTCAAAACTAAGGGCATGCGCTTCATCTACAGTGGTTATTGCCTACGGGATGAGATGACTGCTTGAGATATGGGTGTACACCGTCATTTCCCCGCAAGTCGGCTCGCAGCGCCGCGAGTCAGATGGATGGCCTCAAGAACTGACTAGATTTCTATATTCATCTTGTGACGCTGGGCAAGGCTGTAGCGCAAAGCGCATGGCACGAGGATCAAGTCTCGAATAGGCACCCGCTGAGGCCAACCAAGCCCCTCCCTGCGGTATCAGTCGGGCGGCAGCAGACTAGTCCGGGAGATCAGCCCTGATTTGTACATCGACTTCGGTAATTCACTACATAGCCCAAGAAGCATCCCATCCAGTAGATTCTGCATTAAGTGGAATTCGTGGCGCATCTCAAAAAGGGACTAATTAACGTCGAGGTGGGCCTTTTTGTCCTTATTCGTTGCACCATCACTATCGCGGACATATCACTGTTCTCGCGGCAAACTCGTCCGAAAAACGTTCGGTTTTGTGGTGGAAGAGTGAGGCCTCCACACTCCGAGCAATTCCTCCCGTTGAGAGGAGTTTTTGCGGAGTGCGACCCCCCCCCCTTCTCGAAGTTCTCCTCTTCTGGTACACGCCCCTCCCTTCACTTCCCCAGCCTAGCCACCGTTTTGCTGAGTTTTCCCAACTTTCTGAGCACAAACTTTCTACCACTTCTTCGGAGTTTTCCCCAAAAAATGCAGGAAAAAACCGGAAACATTTTCCTCAAGGCGAACGCGACCTGCCCTTCCCTCTAGCGATCGAAACGATTCCCTTGGAGATCCCTCAAGTATGACCTGGACTCTCATCAGCGCACAAAGCCGGCGCGGCGAGGGTCAAACCGGCTGCTGGGAAGAGACTGAAAGGGAAGGCGTGCCAACATCAATAGTCACGGAGCGCACTTTGGTTATAGTAAGCCATACCGTCGGTGAATAGAACCCCATATCCTTATAAAAGTTTGAAAAGGACTTTCTGGTCGGGATATAGCCTAACTTCCTAAAAGAAAGCTTTTGATACATTTCTAAAAAGCTTTTCCAAAAAGCGCCTCAAATGGAACCTATCGGACGTCTCACCTCCAAGGCTCGAAAAATTCCACCATCAGTACTGGCTCAGCTAAAAGGGATAAGAGGCCATATGTTCATAGGTTGGGAGGAGGTGGTGTAGATGACAAGTGGCTACCGCTTCGCCGCGGGTCCCTCGGGGTTATACACAATTCAGAGCGAACTCAGACTCGATCCGAGGTCGAACTCCCCTGCCGCGCAAGAGCACAACCAAGCCTTCTAACTTCTGGGACGGTGAATTGGTAACGAAAAGATTCGTCTGGAGGATAGAACGACTGGACTTGTAACATCGGCTGGCCCGTCCGCAACGTCATATATGGGCCACATTGCCATTTCAATAATTCACTGCTATTGCTGGAATGGAAGATAGGATGCCGATGCCGCACTCCCACGAACATGAGTTGATCAAGGCCGGCGAAACACTTTCTCCGCTTGCGCCCTTTGCTGGAGGTTGTTTTGGACGATCATGCACTTTGACACCATAATGGTACCACCGCTTTATGTCCTCCCGCAAAGGCGGTTGACGGTCGTTGTCGGGCATGTACCTGATACCAAATACAAATAGCAGATAAACTTTTTGAGCAAACCCATCACAAGGTTTGGCCACAACTAAGATACAAACAAGCTTTTTTCTGACTTTCAGGTAAACTCAGGAGGTCATCCCAATGCAATGACTCCACGCCTCTCGCTATTCCTCATTGCCAGTCATCAATACTTTCCTCTACAGCTACTCCTTGTCCTACCATACAACAAACAAATACCACTGTGCCAGGTAAGCTTCACGTCAACGACTTATGAGTGATTCTTGGAAGATCTTCTCTTTTCCAGTATCTTCCTCGCTGTTCTCGATCCCACCAAATTTCTCAGCTGATCGGCTACAGTACCCACTACTTACACCGTCTGTACCTCTACTATATGACCAGCTGGCATTAACCTGTACGTTGATCGCTTCAAAGTGTTCCAGAGGCTTTGAATCGCTCATAGCAAGAGTGTTTCAGTGGGAGCTTGGCAAACATGGGGCAAAATGCGACGTCCACGCACTGCATTCACCAGTGAGCAACTCATCGAATTGGAACGTCAATTTGGCGAGAACAAATACCTCAGCCGACCGAGGCGATATCCAACTCGCACAGGAGCTTTGTCTCACTGAAACCCAGGTACAGATCGCCTGTTTGGGTCTATGTTTTCTGGAGCTCTCACAAAATTGAATGGAAGTCATGTACGACTTTACCAAGAAACTCGCCGGTGTGCTAATTGTCGGTTGCTCTACTTCAACTCACGTGAGGTTGATAACTTAGCTTTACTGAACTGAGTTTCGGCAGGTCGCCTTCTTCAGGCTTTATCCGCCAAACGTAGGCCACTAAAGCTGAACTGTCAACCTCGTGTGGGAATGTAACACTTCATATTCGACTACATG